GGTGAGGGGTGTGTGGCGGGTGCGGGAGGATGGGACTTCGGTCTCCGTGTTAAGCTCTTCTAGGCTTCACCCAGAGCAGACGCAGCCTCACCTGCCCCACACTGCGCCTACGCCTTAACAAACGCAGCTGAAGGCGTATCTGCGTCTCGCTTCTGCTGCCTATTCCAGGTGACTCATTGAGACGTTCATTAGGGCATTTTTTCTGTAGCCATTGACCCTCCTTTGAAAGACAGTCGCCTGCGTTGAATTTACTGGGTGTCTTCCCAGTTTTCCACTGTCCTGCGGACGGGGCCCAGGGAATGTCCCGTACGTCCCACGCCCCTTGTGTTCTGGCCTTAACATTGTACCAGTTTTTGTGTCGGGAGATTCCTGATCTAAAGGTGCAATTGACGATGACAGCTGTGTGACGCTGTCACTCAGGCATGCCGGGAACCAGAGACGCCGTCCCCTGGGCACACCGCAGACAGTCTGTACTCTTAATTAAGCGTGCAGAAGTTCTGTTTATAACTCTGAATTACTTATCCCGCTGTGTCCTGTTTGCTGATGTTTAATCGCAGCTTCGTTCAGCTGTTTGCCAGTGAGACGACTCTCAATCCTGAACCCCCCCCCTCTGCCTCGCCACTGCGTGGGGAGGGCAGGGTTTTCATAATGGGCTGGATGGTTGCCCCTTCAAGAAACCAGTCTCCAGGCCCCAGCTTAGTAATCCCCAGATTCAAATTAAACATGAAGTTAAGTGGGTAGTAGGTGGTGACAGACGGGTAGCATTTAGCAGTGACAGTATGTTCAGACACAATGAGTAAATAAAAATCCTGAGTGTTTCTGACAGTGGTTATTATTCCTGTCTCTCTTCCTTTGGAGGGGGTATGCGGATGCCCTCACACTGCGGTCACATGATTGGAGGCTTTACATCAAACGAGCGCTTGTCATGAAACTGGAGACAAAGAACTAATTACCTGCCACCGGGAACGGACACGCTAATTAGCCGTGCGGCCGGGATTCCGAACTTGACGTCACCGTGGGCTGACAAGCACGTGACCTCTCCCCGCTGTGCCCCCGCCGGGCCCCCGCTTTGCGTCTGACGGCCGTCAGGGCGCCGAGACAGTGACGCCACTTGGCCCCGACGTCAGCTCGGGATTCGACGCTCCGGTTTCTCCGGGCCGAGGGGCTGCCGAAAATATCCTGTAATTCTGCGAGACTTTTTGCCCGGTTGTCAGACAAGTGGCCCAAAGCCTGCGGGAAACTGTCAGCCGCGATCGCTTCCAAAGAAGCGCGAGAGTTCCGCCTTCACGCCGATTCGGAGCAGCTGCCTCAGATTTACCAGCAGAGCTACCCAGAATTCCAGGCGGGCCTGAAAAAGTTTTTGTACAGCACTGTAAAGCCCTATGCCTCGCACTCACTGTCTTGGTCTAGTGGCAGTAAGCTCTCCGCATGTCACTGGTCAAACCCAGTGCCAGACAGCCTTCTGTCTTCTGCCCCCCCCGACTTGCTCCATGTGGAATGGGGGCATCAGGGGGCGACCCGAAGAAGGGTCTTCTCATGCTGTGTCAGGCTGTCCCATGGGGGCGGAAGACTAAAACAGGGATGGTAATTACAGCACGGCCCCTACTGACCCCGTCGCATGGACTCCTGGGGTCTGCCGCTGCCGTAAGGCCTCTCGAGCCAGCCTCTTGTGCCTGTGTGCTTAGCGGGTGGCCTCGTCTCACAAGCTCATTAGCCGTGCTCAATCTGTACCCAACCCTGTACCCACCGCCTGTTACACTTTGCTGATTATTAATGCATATTGCTAATTAGCCCAATAGCCACAGTAGCTATAGTGCTATATGCCAGAGTTGGGTAATGATGTTTGTTTCGCTTTGCTAATTAGTCCTTGCATTGGCGTAGCAGCAGTTAGCCAAATAGTCACGGTAGCTATAGTGCTGTTTGCTAGCATTAGGTTGTGACGTTTGTTTTGTATTGCTAATTAGCCCTTGCGTTAGCGTAGCAGCAGTTTAGCTGGATAGCTATAGTGCTACGTGTCTGAGTTAGATGGAGATGTTATTTTTTTGTTGCGGGAATGTGTTCATTAATAAAAGTGGGTGTTGTCTTAATTTCTTTGCTGCAGTACAGGTCTGTGTGGGGGCGAAATTCAACAGGGGGCAAATAGTTGCAGAAAAGTCAGCGCAGCGCTTCCCTCCGGCTCCCCGGCCTAAAGTTAAGCGTTTGGTGCGTCAGCGGACAGGCCGTCAGCTTCCCCACACCAGTGACCCCTTCCTCCAGGCCGGTCGTATCCGGTCCTGCCTCTGGGAGGGCCGCAGGGCCTGACGGAATCCTGCGGACGCTGATGGTGTTTGGGCGAGCGGCGACTTTAAGTAATTAAATGCAGCGCTGCGATACGACGGGGAGCAGGGGCCCAGTGGCCTCCCCAGGCACAGCTGGGACCCCCCCCTTTCGTCTTGATGATGCATCTCCACCAGGAGCTTGGGAAGGCTCTGAAAGTGCGTCCAGTTTTAATAAAAACAGGCTTTATACTGTCCTTACGAGAGCTAACACTTTTACCCAAAGTGGGTCAGACTTTCGGGGGCATTTTATGTGGGCGGTGCTGATGATAATCTAACCACCCCAAATACCAGTCAGCATGTGGGAGGATCATCCCAGGCAGTGCAGCATGACACACACACACACACACACACACACACAGATACTCAAAACCACCGTCAAGCATGTCGAGGAATTTAGAGATGCCAATTAACCTAACCGCGCGTTTGGCGACAGTGCTAACAGTCCCACTGAGAGGAAAAAAAAGAAATAAACCACAAGCCTTCGCCTCAGCTACTCAGGACCTTAAAGGTTCCTTGCCGCTTGGTTCCCCCCCCCCCCCACATGAGATCTCACTCCAGACGCTTCCCTCGTGAAGCTCCTCGGTGGTGGAATGAGTTCCTGCTCCACGTCCAGTCATCAGACTCCCTCTCCACCTTCAAGAAACTCCCCTTCTATTCCATTAGTCCCTCTCCGAACCTGAGTGACGGTTGGACACCCTTGCCTAGTCATATTAGGGTTCTGCTTTAACAGTTATACCTTCTTACCTGGGCCCTCATTGTAAGCTCAGCCTAACTACAAATGTCTTGCTGACTCCTTGATGGCGTGAATATTTGCAATGTGCTGTTTGCCGCGCGGTAAGTCGTTTCGGACAAAAACGTCTGCTAAAAATGTAAATGTAAAATACGTAAGAACAATATCTGCGGGAAAAATGTAAAATGCTGTGAACCGTATTGAGAGAGAGTGGTGTGGGCTGTGTGAAAAGCCCCCCCACACACACACACTGCGACGCCCCCCTCCGGCACGACAGGAAGTGTGGTGGCAGGTCGAGGTGCGCAGTAAAGAGCGGCACCCCAGCGCATAACGAGGACGCCGCAGGCTCGGGGAGGGCGTTTCCCAGTGAAGAGGCTATTATCACCTGGCTATTTTTATTATTATGACAATTACACGCTTCAGGAGCGGATTAAGCGATACGCGGCACCGACTGGGAGCAGTTGACAGCTATTTGGAGACTCAATGCACAGAACAATTTGCAGCGCTGAGGCTGAGAAATTGGATCTGGGCCACATTGGAAAGGGACCAGAGCACTGAAAATTTGGACAGGGCCGTAGTTTGCCACACTAGGCACTCCGGGAAGGCTCCGCCGGGTCTTGCCACCGCGCTGCTTTCTCGCCCCCGCTGGGCAATACGAGATGTTTCCCCTCCCTGTAAGCAAGTGGTGAACCATCGTTTTATGGTCTAATGGCATCCCTGACTGAAGCCTGTTCACTCTTAACCTTGGGCTTATTTGAAGTTCATCCATCTGTTTTGTGTAAGATCCAGTAAGGGGTCACTGTGATACTGGGACCTATTGCAGGGCATGCCCTGCAGGGGGCGCCAGTCCGGCGCAGCACTCATTTGTACAGTGTGGCCATTTAGAGACATAAGTCTGCTATGCCACCTGTTTCTGGGCTTTGGGGAGAGCATTCAAACACACTGTGCTGGGGGCGGGAATCGAACCCACAACTGGGGGCGTGAGGCTATAGCACTGCCTCTTAAACTAAAAAGCAGCCTGTTAAAATTCACATCCCCAAATGTGGTGGTCTTGGGCCCCCAAAGACCCTGATTTCTGCGCCTCAGGCCCCCTCCCCTCCCCCCACAGTGCTTGTATCAATAACTCCCCGGCAGAACGTGAGCCCCTTCATCACCTGCTGATGACAAATGACTGATTGTTTAGCGAGTAAATCAACTTCAGCGAACGATTAAAAACTTCCCTAATGAAGGCGCGGATGCATATTAAGGAGGCGACTCATGAATAACCTGCCGCGGTTTGATTAAGCCGTCGGAAGACCCAGCAGCGACATCGGTGGGGTTCGCCGGACCCCCCCAGCGAGCCCGCGGCGACCCGCGGCCACCCTGCCGGCAGTGGCTGCTGCGGCCGAGAAATTACACTGGGAGACGGTGTCACTGTGATTTATTTAAAACCAGGGCAGAGAGACGACTGAACAAGCTTTTGCCCAGAATTACACACACACCTCTGACTGGGGTCACGCCGTGAGTTTGGGCGACTCTAAGTGCAGTAAAATAAGTTAGTGCTGGTTAGAAAGATGTTAAATGGTTTGCTGCTTTGAAAGAGAGTGCAAGCTGCCCAGTGAACCCTATACCTGTATTTTCTTTTATACCTACTTTATTTAATTGTCTTGTTTGTATTGGAGTGAAGGTCAAGTGAAATTCCTTGTAAGTGTCACCTTACTTGGCCAATAAAACTGATTCTGATTCTGAACACGGAAAGTGCTGCTGAAAGGCAGTGCAGTTCATCTGTGGAACAGCAGGGGGCGTAGTGGTGTCTGCTTCCTGTCAGTCTCGATCTTGCTGTTTAGCTCGGTGCGGTAACCAAACCAGGGAAGGTTCTGCTAAATAGCTAGTGAGATGTACTTCCTGTGCCCAGCTGGTGTCGGTGTTAAAGGTCAGCACTCATCTCTGTGCCCACCCCCCCTCTGTTGCAGGACCTGTCGGGCTCCATCGACGACCTCCCCACGGGGACGGAGGCCGGCCTGGGCTCAGCGGCCAGCGCCTCAGGCTCCTCCAGCAGCCAGGGCGAGCAGAGCAATCCAGCCCCGTCGCCATTCTCACCCCGAACCTCCTCGCCGCACCTCCCCGGAGCCCGCGGAGCGCCCTCGCCCTCTCCCGTGGGATCCCCCGTCGGCTCCAACCAGTCCCGCTCGGGGCCAATCTCCCCTGCCAGTGTCCCAGGTATTTCTCCTTGGCGCCCCCTTTTGGCAGCCTGGGCTCCAGCAGTTCCCTTTATTTTGTCTCGCTCCGCCTATCAGCGTCACGGCAGGTTTTGTTTATAGTCACACTGTGCTTTGAGAGTCTCAGGCATCCTGTTACATGGCCCTTGGACTGAGAGCTGCCGCCTTGATTTAAGGAAAGTTTCTCTCCTCTGGTGTCACCAGGAGAGATTTCTTGGCTGGTGTATTAGACATGTGTGGAGATGTTGAGTTCTATTCGAAACACTTATTCCACAAATTTCACCCACATATTTGTCTCCAGTGTGTTTACTTGCGTGAATATGTTTTGATAACGTCGCTTATGCATTGTTGTAATGCTCCGACATACGATATGAATAAATCTCAGCGGACTTCTTCGAATAAGTATGACAGCATGGGGGGGGGGGGGGGGGGGCGTTATTTATGACTCATCCCCTGGCCTGGGCGACTGTCCCAGTAGCCTGTGTTCAGTTTTTGATTGTCCTATTTATTTTTCTGGGAGGGGGGCAAGTGGGGACAGCCACCCTGTCCCGATTTTTCAGCCATTATAAGGGAAGACAAATAGTTTAAACGAGAGAGAGCGGTACATTTCATATTTGTGTGTGTTTGGTTTAATAAGTGTTGTTATAGTTTCATGCCGAATCGTTTAGCTCCCATTGATGGTTGAGTGTTGTTTCGGGGGTGTCGTCTTTCATTTACATCGGAATACGGTGGAGGCCCGCTGGCAGTTTTTCCGAGGATAGCTGCAGGTCTCATTCGATCTCTGCCGGTATCTGTCTTGGCTTTTCGGCGAACTCGTTTGGCTAGCTCATCAGCAGTGCCAGAACGATGACTCATTTAATAAGTAAACAAACTGAATTTCAGATTAATGAACTCTGGGTAGGTTTTCAATTCACAGGCACGGACGACCAGGGTCTCCCAGCCCCACTGAGCGGACGTCGTCTCTGATTGAGGCCTGACAGGGATGTGCACCCCCCCACCCCACCCCTCCCTGGGCCTGTCAATCACAGCGATGAGGCGGGTCAAACGCTTGAGTGACTTCCTGAAGGCCGCGTGCGCGTGACGGTGATTGACGTTAATGAAACGCTTGACCACAGCTCCGGCTGTAAACACCGGCAAATTCGGTGGGGGAACGGGCAAGTTACATGTTGGGGGTAGTGAGCAAGAAAAAAACGTGGACGGGTGTGATTGATTGAATCCCTTTAAGAATATTCCAGCCCAAAATAAATGCTCAAAAATCATCCGATGAAGGATTCTAGACATTTCCATCCTGCCAGTAGGCCTCTCAGTCTTTTCTTAGGCTTAAGTGTTTCCCATGGTGGAGACTCTAAGCCAAACGTCGCCGTAGCCTTGGGTTCTCCGGCATGGTCATCATGCTCCACAAGTCTGTGGCTGCGATGGCAGCATGAGCAGCACCAGTGGTTACCGGTCAGAAACATCTGCCCGCTGTGCGCAGATGTAAAGGCGTGACTGAATGTAAACGGGTCGCGTGAAGGACGATCACGCTCAGCATGCACACTGCCGTTTCTTTTCTCCAGCCTTCCCCTGATTGTTGACACGTCATTGCTCCCGTCTGGTTGGCCCGCGGAGTCAGCGTCGCTCCCCTCCACACCGTCTGTCAATCTTCTCCCGCCAGCTGCCCCCGCCCCCCCCCCCCCCCCGTCTCCCATTGGCAGTCCTCTGACTCAGCTGCCGTATATTGATTCTTGGGTCTGAATCTGGTCAGAATTCAACTGAGGTTAAGTATTTGGGAGAGAGGTGAGTGGGATGCTTAAACCTTTGCCCCCCCACTCCCCCAAAGCATGAAGCAGATTGAATGCACGGCAAAGCCGTTCTCACTCGACCAGCGTCTGGATTCTCCTGGAGCCGCGGAGGGTCCCAGCAAATTGATTTTGCCGTCGTGCTGGATTTGGGACGGCAGCATGAATCGCATCACTTCAGCCCGAGCGTCTCTGGGCCGATTTTCGTAGGGGCTCCGTGTCGGGGGCAGGCTAACAGTCCCGGCAGCCACAGAAAGCGCGTGAATATCCGTCTGCGGGCGCTGACAGCAGGGACCGGTGGCGTGTGCCGTCCCGTCACTAACGGCCGGGGCGCGGGAATCCCCTACACCGCAGTAGCGTTTACCAAACCTCGAGTTAAAGGCTGCCCCTGAACAGATCCCCAGTTGTCTTTCAGGAGGACTTTGCCCTTGTAAGCAAGAGTACACAGACCGTTAACCATTACTAACGGTCACTTTTAATATCCAGCAGCTGCCGGCGGTGATTAAAGCTGCGCCCCCCCTGCCACCTCACCAAGAGGCTGTTTACTTCCATACTCCAGTTCTCTCTAAATACCCATTTTGAGTTTTTAGAAAGCTGACAGCTTCACCTGAAGTTCCAGGCTGGCTTCTTTAAATGCATGTGCTGATTAAGATTCTGGAAAACCCGCCAGCTGCCGGCCCAGGGACCCACTTATTTTCTGCGTCTGTGTTTCATGGCGGCCTCTGCTCCGGGGTCGTATGAGCGCCTTCCTCTGGTGACCTCTGGGGAGCCCCCACCACCGCACCCCCCCAAGGCCGCAAGAGCACCAGCAAAGCAGAAATGTAAATGGGATCAGGGCCGGCGGATCTGTATTCACTGGCCAGTCAGCTGTTTCTCTTCCTGGAATGAGTAAAGGGGGGTTTAAATAAGACACCAGGGCCCCCCCAGCATGGGGGGTAGCCAGACGCTCTATGTCCCATGAAGGAGCCATCAGCTGGTTTGTCAGCTGATCTCTGAGAGGTGCCTCATGGTTTCGGGGTTTGAGTCGTAGCCTCACAGGAACAGGATTCGGCCCGGCGGCTGGATTGGGAAGCGGAGCGTGAGGGGCGTGGAGCCGGGGGGGCGTGGAGCCGGGGGGGTGTGCTTTATATTTTTGCCTTGGGTTGTTTTTGGATGTTTTTGTCGTTGGAAGTTAAGCTTCCCCTGGGAGAAATGATGCTGATGGTGATAAAGGTTTTTTTTTTGTTCATTTTTTAACCCGTCTTCATTCTGTCTTCTGTCTCCGTAGAAACAGAGTCAGTCTCCCCTGTAAGTCGCAGCCTTGTTTCCGGTACCAAGCCCAGCTGAATTTTGTTTTTTGTTTGGGGGGGGGCACTGTGTGACCCATGATGACAGTGATTTGCTCAGTCTGGTGTTCTCTGTACCCCCCCCCCCC